ACCATGTAGGCCGGATCCGGCCGTCTTTCATGTTCTGGGAACCCGACACGACACCCTAGAAGTGAAGGAACTCCCTTTTGTGTATCTCCCCAGCTGGAGGACGTGCCGTGATGAAAGCCACACTTTAACCGGGACTGTTTCACGCCTTGCTGGTCATCAAGAGCCTTACAAATTGTAGCAGGCCTTGTTTCATTCAAGCAGTACTAGAGTCACAGTGCCTAGTCTTGAATAGTATCTTGTCAACGCTATCTACTAAGTAATGATCGTTAAGAGGAACCTATATATATTTATACCCTACCCATTTGGAAATAGCTCCTTTTGAGTTATGGATATTAAAAGGGTTGTTTTGATAAAAGCTTATTTATTTTTAAACCCGGGTAAACAGACGTTTATTTAGAAAACCATGGTGCCGGTTAAACGGTGTTTGGTATATTCGGTTTGGTGTATAGCACATCACCGCTTTGAATCCTCACCCTTTCAGGGTCATATTGGCGAGAAATAAAGGAATGACATACAGGAATGACATACAGGAATGACATACTGGGATGACATACTGGAATGACATACAGGAATGACATTCAGGAATGACATACTGGAATGACATACTGGAATGACATACAGGAATGACATACTGGAATGACATACAGGAATGACATACTGAAATGACATACTGGGATGACATACAGGAATGACATACAGGAATGACATACAGGAATGACATACTGGGATGACATAAAGGAATGACATACAGGAATGACATACTGGAATGACATACTGGAATGACATACAGGAATGACATTCAGGAATGACATACAGGAATGACATACTGGAATGACATACTGGAATGACATACAGGAATGACATTCAGGAATGACATACTGGGTCATACTGGAACGACATACTGGAATAACATACTGGAATGACAATACTAAAATGACATACAGGAATGACATACAGGAATGGCATTCAGGAATGACATACTGGGTCATACTGGAATGACATACTGGAATAACATACTGGAATGACAATACTGAAATGACATACTGGAATGACATACAGGTATGACATTCAGGAATGACATTCAGGAATGACATACTGGGTCATACTGGAATGACATACTGGAATGACATACAGGAATGACATACTGGAATGACATACTGGAATGACATACTGGAATGACATACAGGAATGACATTCAGGAATGACATACTGGAATGACATACTGGAACGACATACACAAATGACATACAGGAATCACATACTGGAATGACATACAGGAATGACATACTGGAATGACATACTGGAATGACATACAGGAATCGCATACTGGAATGACATACTGGAATGACATACTGGAATGACATACAGGAATGACATACAGGAATGACATACTGGAATGAAATTCAGGAATGACATACAGGAATGACATACAGGAATGACATACGGGAATGACATACAGTATATTTGAATAATATACACAGAACTACTACAATATCAGAAAACACATTATTGATTTTATGACAACAAAGATGTTTTGTTGTCAACGTTAAGCAAACATGCATTCCCGAGGGAAAAAAGTGTTTAATCAAAAGACAAGTGGGCTTTCACTTTACGTATTAAAATTTGACTGTTGTGATTAGCTGTTACATATATGGTAACACGAGTTTGTGTTCACTGACGCGCCTACTTGGTAGGATATAATACGGTTGCATGTAAATATAGGTTTCTTTTATCTTCAATTCCGAAGGTGTTGTGGGCCTTTCTTTAGTGTATTCCTTCAACGTAATGTCCAATGAAAGAAGTGTGATATGTGGGGTTATTGGGGCGGACACTCGAAATACGAATGGCTAAACCATTAATATATAATCATTGCAACCGTAAAGCGCTGTGCCCATACAAAGGCTACATATTCACACTGTAGCTGGTATACCAATATTACTTGTAGGAATTATGTATGGTGGACATAGCAAAGAAATAGACATAGAATGGAAGGAATATCTTGAATTTTTCAACAAACGGTCTTCCATTTCCAGAAATTTACAGTTCTGTCAATACCTATGTTTTTGCTTTTGCAAACTCTGGCATAAACAGAACTCCAGACACTGACACAGTTGTTAATATTGCTGTCACAAGACACAAACACAGAAGCAGCTCGAACAAGAGGATCACAAGACACAGACACAGACACACACATAGACTTACACAAGTCTCTTAGACAATAATTATTAGTTTAATTCATAAGTTCTAGATTATGTAAATAATAAGAACAAGTTGTCCCTATAAGAGACTGGAGTCCTTAGACTGTCCATATATCTAGACTTACTACACATCCAAGAAGGACTTTTCTTTCAGTACAGCCTTGGAGCAAGGCTAACACAAACACAACTGTCAATAGTGAGGTCGTCACAAACACAGGTGAGGTAATGTGAAATGGGGTTTTAACGTCGCTTTCAAGGTTATTGCAATAGCAATGTGCATTGTGTGTATGTGTGTGTGTGTGTGTGTGTGTGTGTGTGTGTGTGTGTGTGTGTGTGTGTGTGTGTGCGTGCGTGTGTGTGTGTGTGTGCGTGTGTGTGTGTGTGTGTGTGTGTGTGTGTGTGAGTGTTCTTGTACTTGTACTGCCGGTTTTATGGTGAGATATGAGATACCATGCCACAGTTTAACATGCATGTCCCACTCAGACACAGTATACTCACCACTGCTCTATCTCCTAATGTCGTCAGGCAGGGCAAGAACAAGTACTATATTTTAACGTATTTTGGTATGACACTCCGCTCACTGGGCTGACGCTCTATCCACTATACCATGGAGGTGTCATAAACAATTGTCAATACTGAGATGTCACAGATACGACTCACTGTCAATATAGAGACATGTTGTCACAGACGCAACAATATACAAAGGTGCAGCCACTACCACAGACTCCCCTTACTTACCCCAATATCCCAAAGAATAACAAACTACCTAAATGAACACCAAATTAAAAATCTTAAACAAAACTGCAAACAATCAAATATCTTCACCCCTAAACTTAAAATACCCAAAATAGACACAACACTAGCTAGCCAAATAAATAAACAAACCGACCCAAACATAGCTAAAACTACCACACTAGCATACATACACGAAAATTGGCCAAATTGGTGTCACATTTACACGGACGGATCCTCAGATCCGACCTCCAAACACACAGGTTTCGGAGTCCATACCACACAACCAACTAAAACCACACAATCCTTCCGACTCCAAAACAACCAATCAATATTCACGGCAGAACTAATGGGCATGGCCTCAGCCCTCCATAATCAAGAATCCAAAAACCACAAAACAATCCTAATACTTACCGACTCCCTAAGTGGACTGCAAGCCCTCCAAAACAAAAATACCAAAAACCGACCTAAATTAATAAATCAAATACTTAAAAGCTCCAACGACCTAACTAAGGCAGGCAAACAAATAACCTTCTTGTGGATACCCGCCCACGTAGGAATATACGGTAATGAAAACGCCGATAAAGCAGCTAAACTATCCCTCAAAATCCCAGAAATAAGCTTAAACTTACCCATCTCAAAATCAGAAATTAAAAGTGTAAACAAGCAAAAAATCACCAAAAAATGGCATAACCTATATCTAAACTCAAATAGCCAAATCAAAAAAGTGCTCAGCAAACAACTAACCAAACCAAAAATTCTCCATCCATCCAAAAAAATCGACAGAGTAATCACTAAACTCCAAACAGGACACACCAACCTAAATAACCACCTAAAAAATTTTAAAAAACACACTACAGGTAACTGCCCACACTGCAAACAACCAGAAACCCCAGAACACGCACTCATCCACTGCACACACTACCTAACACATCGAACCGCATTACAAACCACCCTCAATCTAAACAAGGCTCTAACTCTAGAAGCAATACTAAACCCACAAAATAAACTAGAAAACTTCAAGGCCTTAGGCGTATTCTTAATCAAAACGGAACTAATAAAACGCATCTAAAAACACAATAACTCACCAAATCAAAATCACATAAACAAACAAACATCCACCATACCCAGCTCCCTTAGTTCTCCTCCCCAATCCCATCGGCATCTATTCCAAATCTCAAAATTCCCCAATTCTATATAAGCAACCCCTAAAACCCCCCTCTTGGGTTGCACAGACCACCTTCGCCCCTTTCGGAAACACATTAAATGGCCTGGCCGGGCCCGTGTGCGAAATACGCATCAGTCGGAAAGCGCACGTTAAATCTCCAAAGTAAGTAAGTAAGTAAGTACCACAGACTCGTCAGTGGATAGCGACAAAGACCATTGTACCAAGACTTAACAACAAGGTGCAACTTTCTCAGGTTTTCCTGTCCTCTTCGTAAGATTTGGTTCAGGGTAAAGGGCGTGCTATCATTTACACCGTTACGACTTCGTAAAACATGTAGGAAATAGAAGTACTTGAGAATAATTATTATCCATATATCATTAAAATCAGATCTTAGTTGTTGGTACCGCTAAACAAAGGTCAGAGGGACATTCCATTACGGGTCACGTCAAAATGGCCTGTCATCCGACTGATTCCGTCAGAATCATCCGTCTATCTCTCGCTTCAATGAGATAACCATTTGAAACGGAAGAGACTACCCCGTGGCAAGTACTTCCATACAATCACGGCTTTCAATTAGACATTCCAGAATTTTCTTATGTTCAGTTTTCAAATTGTTAATTGATATTGTTCAAAGGGTCGTCTGGAATGGAAGACTCCAGTTTGAAACTTTCTGATTGGCTAATATCCACACCTTGGTAGTCATTTTATTGGTCGGTCAAAGTTCTCGTAAAGTCGTTCTGACGTGACCTGTAACCGGACGTCCTTAGATCCACGTGCAGCGGTATCGAGCATTAAGGTCCGATTTTAATGAGATTAAAGTATTTGAAAAACATATCACCACGTAAATTTTTTTCACAAAATGGTGCTTCAAGGCCGTGTATCTGTTTGTGCGATGTACTCACGGAGAAGAAAGCGTTGACGCAGACGGAGAGGCCGATGATGAAGGGGACGGAGCCACCGACGTCCTTCCTGCCCTTGTCGACGAGGGAGAAGATGACGAACACCAGGAAGAAGCTGACGATGATCTCCACCACCAGGGCCTGCTCCGAACTGACGTACTTCCCCGGCTGCAGCAGCCCGAGGGTGCCGTGCATGTTAGCGGGGGTGATGAACTTGAGGAGCGCCGCCCCCGCCACTGACCCCGCGGACTGAGCCACAGAGTAGAAGAAGAACCTGCAACACGTGGTCAGTGACGTCATATGTGCACTGTTCATTATTTTCTGAAAGCATTACTGAGATATTTCAGAGTTTGTGGACAACTTGTCGAAATACGCATTATGTATATATGTATATAAAACGAGTGGATGAACAATATGTCATCAATATCACGGTGAGGAACACCAGAGTGAGTGAGTGAGTATGTTTTTTTATGCCGCGTTTAGCAATATTCCAGCAATTTCACGCCTGTGGACACCAAAATTTTGCTTCAAACTTTGTACCAATTATTGTAATCTAAGACAGATTGTTGGTTGGACCAGAGAAAGATTTAACCACTCGGCTACACTGGAAAACACTTGGAATAAATTAATATAACCCTTTGAAGTAATAAGAAGTATGTGATAACGATATGAGGGTTCTCTAAAGGGATATGTTGCACTAACTGTTTGGACAGTGGCCTAATGTAAGCTAACGTTGTCCTTTACGGTCATGACTTAAGTGTGCGAGAGGCTGAACGTTGTTACGCCGTTCGGCAAAGCAAGCTTCAGGTAATGAGCATGGTAATTCCATTACGCGTAGATACACATAAACAGTAAAGAACAAACACGATAAAAAAATATGCTGCAAACACGCTGAAAATATGCTGCTCAGATAGCTTATTGTAAGTGCTGTGATATATATATGAATATGTACGGGGGCTTCCGTTGATGAGGGGCGATCGGGTAGCCTAGTGGTTAAAGCGTTCGCTCGTCACGCCGAAGACCCGGGTTCGATTCCCGACATGGGTACAATGTGTAAAGCCCATTTCTAGTGTCCCCCGCCGTGATATTGCTGGAATATTGCTAAAAGCGGCGTAAAACCATACTCACTCACTCACTCCGTTGATGACTTATGAGCTTTAACGGTCAAGAATCCGTTTAAGTAAGGATAAGAATTTATGGATGAACAACTTCTTTATTACAATTAGGGGCGACGTTTCGGTGTAGGTTCTAACACCGTTATCAAGCAATTGTTAGAACCTACACCGAAACGTAGCTCTTATTGTAATAAAGAAGTTGTTCATCCATAAATTCTTATCCTTACTTGGTACTCCAACTTCTAAATGCAAAGAAGAATCCGTTTCAGAAAGCTGCCGTAACGCTACGATTGTCGCAGCTCCCATAATTTAACATAAACTTACGACTGCTTCGTGAAATGGGGCCCCGGCGTTGACATGACTGATGCCATTCACTACCTGTGATGCGTGTGTAAGTGTGTGAATATGTTTATCGTCTAGTCGAACATGTGTCAGACATGCCTGGATCTCACAGCGAGATGTTGCGTGGCAGGTGCGTGTCGACTCGAAGGGAAGGTATAAACGTAAATGTAAATGAGAAACATGTTTGAAAAGCCATTCCTAAAATTATCGTGCCACTTACGACCCGTGACGATCCCTGGTAGAATAGGTCTTCAGCAACCCATACTTGCCGTAAAAGGTGACTATGCTTGTCGTAAGAGGCGACTAACGGGATCGGGCAGTCAGGCTCGCTGACTTGGTTGAAGCATGTCATCGATCCCAATTGCGTGGATCGATGCTCATGATGTCAATCACTGGAGTGTCTGGTCCAGACTCGATTATTTACAGACAGTCGTCATATAGCTGGTGCTGCGTTAAACAGCAAACAAGCAAAATACTGCCATTTACAAGACCGATATTTTGTAAAACACGAACGCAATTCATCAACCACGTCAATTGTACTTCCATTCTAACCTTGATCATGCTGTGATTTGACTATCGCACAAACTATAACACTAGCTCTGGCAAGAAACTGCTGTCATATCTCTAGTATACTGCGTCATAGAGGTCAAAGTTTACATGTGTGGATTATATACTGGCCCAATATTTACATGTATTAAATATGAATGGATACGTAAGTGTGTCCTATAAGTAATTCGCATTCCTCTAGGATACGAAGGAACAGAGGTGAGGTGAGGTGAAATTGGGTTTAACGTCGCGTCCAAGATTATTGCACTTATATAGCGACGTGCATGCACGTGTATGTGTGTGTGTGGCTGCTTGTACTAGTCCGGACTGATGCCGATTTATAGTGCTAGCTCACTGAGATACCATGCCGCAGTTTAACATGAATACCCCACTCAGACACAGTATACTGACTCCGAGCCGACCAGTCCTTGTTTTAGCCCCTTAATGCCGAGCGCCAGACAGGGTAACAACAAGTACAATCTTTTAACGTCTTTTTGTATGACGCGGCCCGGGATCGAACCCTGGACCTTCCGCTCTCCGGGCGGACGCTCTACCACAAGACCACGGAGGCGGTCACGAAGGAACAGAGCGCTGTGTAGGTAGGTGTTGCTACCACCATTTGATAGGGATGTATAAGCACATGCTATCACAGAGTCGGAATCGTACAATCGAGATATATTATTTTCAGAATTACGGAAAGCGTCTTGTCGCCGTTATTTACAAGAGTTATAGAGAGTCTTTCACAGACGAGCAAACGTGGGCTCATATCATTCCTGACACAAGACACTTGTGTCCTCCTTTCAACGATAGCAACGGCAATTGATCGCAGATCACACTTCGGCAACACCCGGCACGATCTATTCATTCTTTACAAGAACTGTCTCTTAGGGCCTTTGGAACAGGATTATCTGTGGATCTCCACTGCTTGTCACGTTCTTCGTATGGCCTCGTCATGGGTCAACAATAGCAAGTCAATGGACTTGCGGGGACTGTTGATGTTTACGTTTAGATTCGTATAGGTTAATATGATAACATAGGTGCATTCAGCTCCATTAGTGTATTTGAAAAAGAATGTAAATTTTCAGCCCCAACCATGGCTCATACAGTCTCATGGATTTCCCATCTTTAACTTTTTGAAAAAAATAAGGACAGACAACCCCTTAGATGTGGAATTTGTGAAATGTTCCTTGAATGCTCTCAATCTCTAAATTGTTTCATAAATATAATGGACCATATGTATCAGAGAATAACTTACACGATACGGAAACATTGGGGATTTGGTCCTCAGAAACCTATGCTGGTCGTAAGAGGCGTCTTAATGGATTGGGTGGTCAGGCTTGGTGGATTGGTTGATAGCATGTAAACATGCTCCTGCGACGTGGATCCTTGCTCATAATATCAATCACTGCATTGTCTGGTCCAGACTCTGTCATTAGGTACTTTGGATTACTGATAATCTATCGCAGGTGAATCGGCTGATGACTTCTGTCATTTCCGTCATTTCGAGTTTCGGTCAGTCTATACTTTATCTTAGCCATTTCAGGAAGGCAGGCTACGTTGTCGTGTTGTCAGGTCATAAGCAATGGGTGACGTCGTTCACTCAAACATACCAACGCCTACCCCTACCCTACACATCCAAATCGCCATCCCTGCCACCACCGATCGCATCACATTAACATCTCAAACGCTATCCTCCCAACGCCCCAATTCTCACACACTAAACCCAAAGTACAAAGTTCATTTTGTTTCTCAACCATATTGATCAGTGTGAAACTTAACGCCTGATCCTACTTAAATCTCATAAGGCAATGCTGTGGCAAATACATGTATGATGCTTGATGGGTTTGTTTCAATGAAAACCTCTAAACGTTGCTCACTGTACACATCAACAATTAATTACATAAACTATAAACACTGCAAAAAATAATTTTCAAATGTATTTACATATACCGGACACACAGCACTCGTAATAACAATCTCTCCAATACGACATCTCGACAACATGTCACGCATAATGTAACAACTACCAGTTACTCTAACATGTCCTGACAATAACAGCTCCTGCATAATTATCTCGATAACCACCCCTCAAGTCGCATATCTTAACAACATGCCCTAAATCATGTATGTCTCAACAACCCCTCAAATATTCATATCCGTCTCCGTGGCCCGGAGATGATAAAAGATGGTACTTGTTGTTACCCTGTCTGACGCTCGGCATTGAGGGGATAAAACAAGGACTGTTCGGCTCGGAGTATACTGTGTCTGACTGGGGTATTCATGTTAAACTGCGGAAAGGCATCTCAGTGGGCTAGCACAATGAATCACACACACACACACACACACACACACACACACACACACACGCGCGCGCGCGCACACACACACACACACACATACACACACTTTGGTTATTATATAAGTGCAAAAATCTTGGACGCGACGTTAAACCCCATTACACCTCACCTCACTTCAAATATTCATATCCCGACAAACCACCAAACATGTATATCTCGACAAAGAAATCTTAAACTATAAACATATATGTCCCTACAACCAACAAACCAACCCCTCAGAGTCACATATCGCAACAACTCCGCGAACCATGCATATCTCGACAAAACACCGAATACGTATGTCCCAAAATAAGCGCTCAAGCACGCAAGTCTCTACAATAACCATTCAAACCGAATGTCTCGACAACAACGATCCCTTCCTGTGTGGCAATGAAGGAAACAGCGTACCCTATTTAATGTACGACCTTATTCTTCTCTCTGAAAACAGACCCGCCTCTCGTCGTAATATCGTGTTTCACGGTACAGAACATCAACATGGACAAGCTTGACTGCTGCACATATTTTTATCACTTACTGAGTGTACGAGTTTAGTTTCATGGCGCTTTGAACCATGGTCAGATTATGTCTCAGCGACTCGGCGTTAATGCGTTTGGTAACATTCAATTTGTCGAACTTGGTCGTTTTGGTGAAACCACACGAACCAAAGGTACGGGTACGGTTCAGACAAACCAAAGAGGATTCGAACTAGCGATCAGCGGTTCTCAGAGACGCAAATCTACACGGCGATTTGTGACTTCCTAGTCCACTGGGCAAGCAGTTTACAGTATGATACAATGCATCTACATATTGCACGGACCCAGTTATAGCGTCTCTCGGCAGAAAGGAAAATACCGTAACAGTATTATTATACTCACCGTGCGAAGCTTATTTCTCTTGTGACGGCGAATGCGAGGCTGAGAGCGGGGTTGACGTGGGCACCGCTGACGTTGGCGAGGGCAGAGATGATGACGGCGATGAAGAATCCTGCAGTGAGGATGTTATGCACGCTGCTGTGCCCATGTGTTCCCTCCACATGAAGACCAGCTCCTACACCGAAAACAATCAGCAAGAAACAGCCAAGAAACTCTGCGAACACAGCACGCCAAAACAATGGCTTTTTCAAGTCATCGACTTCTTCCGCCATAATCTTTTTCAAGGCACTACCGATTCCTGACTGTGATTCAGTTCGGTTGTTCAGCGACATTGGAGCATGTCAGTGTCAGGTTCAGAGTTTGATGTTACACTTGATGTTACTCTTGATGTTTAAACTTGATGTTACACTTGTCTATGACCAGTTCCCCCGAAGCACGTGTACCCTTCTAGCGTCTGTCACTCTGTGTCGGTCCGGCCAATTGTAACTGTGCAGTGGTGACACGGTCATGAAACCTCTTTTCAAATACCTGAAAAACATAGGTCTAGTCTACGAGCTATAAAGGGGTGAAATCGGGACTAGTCCATTGCCCACAGAAAGGTACATGCCTATCTTATTTGTTAACTATATACAGTGTGAAAATCTAACACCCTATTGGACGGTTTATGTATGAATAAACATCAGTAGTAACGATATATTGCATAACGTCCACCACCTAACTTGTTGGACCTACCTGGTTCAGCTCTGCCAATCAGATTAACGCCGTCAGTTCTGCCTGACTGCCGCTCTGCTTGTTATGTGGGGACCAGCTACAAACGCTGGGAGGCGCCGGGGAGAGACAGACAGATGATCGCACTGGTGAAGGACGAGATCTCCACAGTGTTCAACAGTCCCAAGCCAACCTGTCCGTTTGGTTTTACCTACATCGCCACAGAGATGTATACATGTAATACCTACCTACATGTATACTTCTTTGCATATGTGTACTTATATACATGTACCTGTGAGCGTCCATGTACATCCCTTATATATATATATATATATATATATATATATATATATATATATATATATATATATACACCTGCAGCTACTTGTATGTATACATGTATATCCACCGTAATGTGTACATGCTATATACTCGCATACCCACCTCTATGTACGTGTACCTCCATATACCAACCTATGTGTACACGTGTACATGCCTACTCCAAGTGCACCTGTACACACCTACTTGAGTGTGCACCTGTATATGCCCACCCGTGTATACTCGAACCTACCTTTTATTACACCTGTAATTAACAACCCTTAAAGTACCTTCATATACCAACTTGTACCTTTATGCATACGTGTATATCATTAACCCCTTTGTACCTGTGCGTAGTTACATATACCTGTGTATACATATGTGTACGTTTATCACTGACTGTATAAACACATATCTACCTGTGTAGTTACCTGCATATACTTACCTTAATGTGTACCGCATCTACTTGTATGTGTGGATATGTATACATATATACATCCAGTATATGTTTCTGTTCTAATTCACTGGACACTACTCAGAATCGCTGCGGCTGGTTCACTTCACTTCAGAATTCACCCGTGCCCCACCCTGCCAAGTGCTTGTTGATCAAATGAAACACCGAGATCGGTCTGACATGAATCAGACTGGTGGCGACAATTAGCCTGAAGCTGATGACAGTATTGATCTCCGGCAACATGTGGTCTGGCTACAATGTTGTCGCTAAGCGTTGCCTGTATGCCTGCCGTAAAAGGCGACTATGCTTGTCGTAAGTGGCGACTAACGGGATCGAATGGTCAGGCTCGCTGACTTGGACGATGCATGTCATTGATCCCAATTGCGAGGACCGATGCTCATTATGTCGATTACTGGATTGTCTGGTCCAGACTCGATTATTTACTACCGACGTCATATAGCTGGAATATTGCTGAGTGCGGCGTTAAACAACATACACACAAACAAACCAACAACGCACCGCTTCCCGAATTTACGTCATCAGGTAAGGGGACTGCCTGAAATGCCATACGAAGTATAGATTCATAGGAATAAGGACGTATTGTACGCACTGATTGTACAGAGTAGGTGTTTTCCATTTTAGTAAAACCCCACAAGCAGATGCATGAGACTAACAGACCTAAAACATAATCAAGGCGAACCGGGATTCGAACCCAGGACTATAGGTTTCAGGGACTCAACTCCAAACAGCGGATAACGATTCCTCAGACGCCGCTTTGGGCAGCGATTAATAGTGCTAGCCCACTGAGATACCATACCGCTGTTTGATATGTATACCCAACTCAGATACAGTATAACTGTATACTGACTCCGAGCCGACCAGTCATTGTTTTATCCCTTAAGAGCGCCAGACAGGGAAACAACAAGTACCTTCCTTTAACGTATTTTGGTATGGCGCGGCCGGGGATCAAACCCCCGACCTTCCGTCCTCCGGGCGGACGCGGTCAAGTAGCGTATGTGTGTTTGCATATGTTGGTCTACTAATGACAGTACGCTTCAAATGCACATGTTATATTCTTGTCATCAGTAATAACACCATAGCTCACGCCACACTCTTCAGTAACGCTATAGTAATTTCATCGGCAATAACGTCATATCGCTGGCCGTGTCATGTCATGAGTAATAACGTTGTCTTACGCCATACTCCAGTCAGCAGTAAAAACGTCTTATCACAGCCAAGACTCTCTTCATCGGCAAAAACGCCACACCTCGGATGAGACTTAAAAGTACATAAAATATTTAGCACACTTACCAGCACATACAAAAAATAATTTCATCGCAACGGTTAGCTACATGTATTGCATACCTAATACAAGTGTTTAATTGTTCACGTGGGGCTAATTATAACACTCGCTCACCTACACACTCAATCATGTCAATACATGAATCGTGACAATTGTGTACTCGCATGGAGTAACTTTTTTGCTTCAATGTTCCCCTCTGAATGACAACTTGCAATTATTTGATTTATTTGCCGTAACTGTGACGTAAATACAGAAGTGAGATGATAGTGTTGTAGAGAGTGTACTCGCTTCTCAACAGCCCGTGTTTGTATCCCCTCCACTCACACGGGACGGGGGGGGGGGGGGGGGGGGGGGAGAGGTGGGGGGGATTGGGGGGAGGGGGGAGTAGGAAGGTCATATCAACCTGCACCTGATGACTGGTATTGGACCACAACCAAAGCTGAATAAGCCTTTAGTAAATCTGTTGTTTTTTTCTGAATATTGACATGACTGCGATATTTGACAATAAATTACCCCTTTAAGTGACTAGTCTGTACGTTGCGAGGCAATGACTCCGGCTGTAGTCACCTCATGGTACTAGTTTCACGTTGACGGCCGAGAAAACTTAAGCGCCGCACTGACATTCAGAGTATATTTTTTTAGTTTTAATAAAATACTTCATATTCTTTGTTGCCTGAGGTTTCAAAATGAAATCAGACATTTTGCAATGTCGAGAAACGTGATTCAAGAGTTATAATGGTAACATTCGATATCGGTTGTTAACTTATAGACGAGTTAGATTATCTACATTATTATTCATGTCATGCCTGTTTTATAAAATATTTTTTGTTTCATAATGCAATGAATATTTAGGTATAGTAGTTACACCCAGACTAGTTTGGACAAAAGCACAGTCCTGCCTTGCATCACAAGCAAATAAAGCCTTAATGGCAATATACAGATATCAAAAGAGAGTAGGTGATATTAATTGTACTGATCTTTTCAGGATTTTTGATGCAATGGTTACACCAATATTGTGCTATGGGTCAGAAATCTTGGGAACAACATATTGTAAAACTACTGAAAATGTTCAGATGATAATGTGCAAATATTTCCTGAAAGTTGGTAAAAGTACATGCAATAGTATGGTACTGGGTGAATGTGGTAGAGCTCCACTTCAGCTGACATACATGTCACGGGCAGTTAAGTGCTGGTGTAGACTTATCACTCTATATAGAAATAGGCTACCTCATCAATGTTATTTAATGTTAAAGTCTCTTGATGATGCTGGCAGAGGCACATGGGCTACACATATCAAACATATTCTATTTCAATTTGGGTTTTGGTTTTGTATGGATTAGCCAGGATGTTGGAAATATTAACATTTTTATCAGATTATTTAAAATAAGACTTCTTGATAAGTTTAAACAAAACTGATATTCTACACTACACTCTTCTCATAAATGTGGTAACTATGTGTTATATAAGACACTTTTACATGTGGAAACGTACTTATGCATTGCTCTTCCTTTACATTTGAGATTCTATTTCACAAGATTTGTAGTGGAAATTTTAGACTTATGACAGAAACAGGAAGATACACTAACATACCACACCATTTAAGACTATGCCCTCATTGTAGGCTAAATGACAAAATGTACTTAGAAGACGAGATTCATGTTTTACTTGTATGTGATGCATATACCTATATTAGAAAAAAGTATATCAGTAAATACATCAGAAATGACAGTGCAGTAAACATATTCATAAATATTATGAACACTCAAAATACACAAACAATAAGTGATCTCTGTTTATACCTATTCAATGTGAAAAAAATAAGAAATACGTTCAATACCACTTAACATAGTTACCTATTTTCCAAGAATGCTACATACGGTATGTGTGTATATATATGTATGTATGTATGTATGTATATGCGTGTGTGTGTGTATGTGTATGTGTGTATGGAGGAAAATAGCGCTAAGAAATGAAACCTTTATATGTCTGTATTTTGGGCCACTGGCCTCTATACTGAATAAAACTTGTCTTGAATAGCCAAGTCTAGCTTTGTTGTAAAGGTAAGTGCTGATATTGGGTCGTGTCTGTCGGGGATGTTATTGGTATTTGGTGTATGAGTCAAGGTACATTAGAGACACACCTAGAAGATGTTTAGAAGCATGTTTAGTACCACATGTTGCAACCGAACACAGTACAGACACCTCCGTTACGACATGATTATACCAACATTTACCAAATCCACAATATTGCTCAAATGTCATTCCCCTGGCGGTTTATCTCTTAATTCCTGTTCCAAAACAGGCAGTTTTACCGAATACATTCAAATTATTTTAAGTCCTACGTAATATGACGTATCCAACAACTGCTTCACAACCCTGCCTGTGGCTGCCCTTTTACAACGGTTTAAATACAATAGTGGTGTCACTTAGGGCGAATAGTCAAGTAGGCCTTAAGTCTATTATTGTGGGACAGTGTTTTCTTGTACCGTATGGCCTTCGGTCATGACACAACAGTAGGCACATTCTGTGGAGTTGATGTATGAATACCGGTGTGGAACTGGATACGTAGATGAGGTATTTCAATCGAAAATATTCATCCTTGATAAACGACCGGGGCGAGTTGATATAGAGAGTCGTGGGGTTACCATCATAAATGGTGTATCATATGGTCTATCAAGTAATGTGTATGACGTATCACATGATGTGTGTATGGTTTTTCATATTTTATGTGTACGGTGTGTGTTCGGTGTGTCAGATGGTGTGTGTATGGTGTTTTACATGTTTTGTGTTCGGTGCGTGTATGGTGTATCAGATGGTGTGTGTACTGTGTATCGGATGGTGTATGTATAGTGTGTCAGATGGTGTGTGTATGGTGTTTTACATGTTTTGTGTGCGGAGCGTGTATGGTGTATCAAAAGTTTTTTTTTTGTATTGTGTATCGGATGGTGTATGTATGGTGTATCAGATGGTGTGTGTACTGTGTATCGGATGGTATGTGTAATGTGTACCAGATGGTGTGTGTATGGTGTTTCACATGTTTTGTGTACGGTGCGTGTATGGTGTATCAGATGGTGTGTTACACGTTTTATGTACGGTGCGTGTATGGTGTATCAGATGGTGTGTGTAATGTGTATCGG